CACCACACAGGGAACGGGGCATAGAAGCATCTTATTTGGCAGTGGCAGGTGGACCTGGTGGTGGCTGGCCCACATCTCCCAGCCCTTCTCTGCCTGGTCCTTTCTCCCCACCTCTGCTCTAGTGTCCTGACAGGTCTCCTGCCCTCTGCATGTTGCCAGAGTGACCTGATGACACCACTTCTTAGCTGTAGGCTTTGGATGGTAAAACCTGGAATCCACCGCCTTGGCCCGTGACTCAAGCCTCTTTGTATACTGGCTCCTTTTCAGTCTCTTTTAACTACCCCATCCTTTCCTCCTTATGCTCCACACTCATAAGAGCTCTTGCCATTCTGAAAACCAGGGGGGCTCTGTGTCCCTCTGTCCCCATCACTGCTAGTCTCACTGGCGGGAATACCTTCCTGTTTCTCCCCACCCCTCAAGGCTCCTCAGTAGATATAAATGCATGTGTTTGGTTTGCCACGTTTGAGTTTCCTGAAGAAACTGTAGTAAATATTTGAAGTGCTTTTAATTAGAAAATACCTTTCATTGCCTACTGCCCTGTAGAACTACCACATCTTTGAAGATTTCAGTGCAGAGACTGGACCACGTGAGGGTTAGGTTGTATGGGTTACACGTACCATCTTGAGAGACAGCCTGAGAAACATTTCTTGGCCATTCTTCTTATACCATTCCTATCATACATATCTCTAGGACCACAATCACTGATCACCAACAAAACCACTAATTTGTATTAGACATTCTTTTAACTCTCTTACCAAGATTGCTTGAATGTTGAAATGTGCTAGGATGTAAGTCAGCCAGAAAACACTAATTGAGCATATACTGTGGGCAGTGCATTGTGGTAGGTGGTAGGTCAGCAGGTTGTGAGAAAGCATGATGGACAACATCGTACCTGCCCCCATGGGAATGGATTGCTCAACTGGACGGGCGAACACCTGTCACTGATGGACACGTATGGCTATGCAGGTCCTCATTGACAGGGGCCCTTGGAGAAAGGCAGTCTCTGCAACTGGGGCAGCCATGGAGGGCTCCCATCAGGAGGTGGTGATGGACATGGATGTGGGGGAACAGCAGGGATTTGGAGAGACTAGAGGAGCGAAGACGGCCTCTAGAGAGAAGGTGGCTTAATGAATCACTCAGGAGGAGCTCTACTTATTTTGTTTGATGAGCCTGGGATGCATCAGATATCTCTTCAAAGCACCGGTTCTCAAGGCTGGCTGAATATTTTAATTACCTGGAAATGTTTAGAAATACAAATACCTGGGTCCCACCTCCAAAGAGTTTGACTGGATTGTCGTGGGGTGTGGCGTGGGCACTGGGACTTTAACAGCTTTCCAGGATGGTCAGATGGTGAGAGTGCTCTCCTGCCAGGCCTCCAGCTCACGCCTGTTGGGCTCTGACACTTCCAAGGCAAGCCTCTCACGCTATCTCTTAAATCCCACTCACACCCCTGGCCTCAGGTTCCCAGGAGGATTTCTTTGCCTGCTTTGCATTCAGGCAGTCACAAGGTAGTCCCCCGAGCCACAGGCTGTTTGGCTTTTCCTCTGCCTCAGTGCCCCTCTTCTGGCGCTTTCCTGGAGCTCTGAGGAAGCAGTGGACAATTCCGTGTGGCCCAGCTATGGGCATTTCCAGAGGGCCTAGGGCTGAGCTTCCTGAGGGCACATCTACACACACCCGCTGGGCAGGGGACCTATGTGCCGGTCACAGATGTGGAGCCGGAAGGGGATTTTTCTCTTGCTGTATTTCCTGCCATTGAGTAGGACCTGAATAAAATCCAGCTCCCCTTTTGAGGCAGTCTTTGCTGAGTGGTCTCAGGAATGCCATTCCTCATTTCAGGGAATTCTGTAGGTGGGGCTGCTGGCCCCCAGCCAGTGCGTCTAATGGTGTACATGCACCAGTCACAGTTTGAGCCCCTCCTGGAGGCCACGACTCTGCCTCCTCTTCAGCAGTGCAGCAGGCATCTGATCGGCTGCAGGAAAGAGGAAAGAGGGTTGACATGATTTTCTGACAAGAAAGATTGCTCCACTCGGGGGTTTACGATCAAGGTGGGAGATAAAATGCTCTGGCTCTTGAGGCTTTTTCATTTAGTTATTAATTCAAAAATATCTTTAGGGATTTTGCTTTTAAATGATACATATTCTTTCTTAAAAGAAAAAAATGCAAACAGCAACATACCCAGAAGAAATGGAAAACCACTGGCCAGAGAACACCTTTGGCATTAATGCTTTCCGGGCCTCTGAGAAACCCATTTCTGCTGGCACTGAGTGTGTGTTTCTCCGGGCAGGGGCAGGAATAACATGACCCTTGAAAGTACTTGAAGCCCTGGATTACATAAGTAATGTGATGACTCTCTCCACAGAGCCCCTCTAGAGACATCCCACCGCCCTGCCCTCCTGGAAAGAACGTTCAGCGTGTCCCACACCAGAACCTATCCAAGGAGAGAGGAATGCCGAGATAGTGGCTCATCTTCCTCTGTCCCGAGAGGCCTCGGAGTAGTCCTCTCTGTTGCTTCACAGCCCTCCAACTATGTGAAGAATGCGAACCATTTCCCATGTGACTGGCAACCATGAAGCAATTCTGAGCCCAACCTCCCCAAATATCTGCTTTGCAAACAGATAAAACAGAGAAGCATCCTGAAAATGTGCTGTTGGGTCATTCACCTTAGGCGGTTGTTCTGTCTGCTTGCCTGCCAGGAGGGTTTCTGCTTCCACAGTCCAGCCTGGAGCTGCTGGGGAGTTAGTTTGGGATGTGGCCATGTTCCTTAAGGGGGCAGAACACAGAAAACTCTCCGGAAGGGGCTTCTCAAGGAAATGGGGACCAAGTGACGCTGCGGGCTCTTTGAAGGGATCTGTGTCCCATCCCAGTGCTGGACTCATTGCTGGCCAGTCCTTGGGGTCACCTGGGAGTTTGGCTCCTGAGATGTCTGGGCATGGGGCTGCTTTCACCAGCTGCAAGCACCCAAACCCACCTCAACCAGCCTTTGGCATCTCCAGTTTGCACCAGCTCTAATTTTGTGTCCTGAGTGGGTGGAGGCAGTGGCAGGGGGAGTGCATGCCAAGCCTGGCAGAGGGAAGGAAGAGGAAGAGGAAGAGGACTTAACTTTCTCAGTAGCTTCAGCCTTCCGAGAAACGCTAGAATGCCTTGGTGCACTATGGCAGGCATAATCAGGTCCCAGTGACCTACATAACCTTCCAAACACCAGGCAAGTTGGAGCTCTGACTCATGTCAGGGGAGCCTGACAGAGGAAGGGTGGGGGCAGGGAGGATTTATAATACTGAGACAGTGAAACCACCTAAATATTTAGTGATGACTGAGTCACTGTATGTCCACAGGGTGGAATATTATGTCAAAGTGATTAGTACAAAGACTATTTAGCAATATTGCAAGTGTTTATGATATAATATTAAGTGAACAAAAGGAAGATATATGCCTTTATGTCACCTGAACAAGAGAAGACTGGAAGGGGATTTAAAAAACAATAGTTGTGGCCAGGTGCGGTGGCTCACGCCTGTAATCCCGGCACTTTGGGAGACCAGAGTGGGTGGATCATGAGGTCAGGAGATCGAGACCATCCTGGCCAACATAGTGAAACCCCCCCCGTCTATAATAAAAATACAAAACTTAGCTGGGCATGGTGGTATGCTCATATAATCCCAGCTACCCAAGAGGCGGAGGCAGTAGAATAGCTTGAACCCAGGAGGTGGAGGTTGCAGTGAGCCAAGATCACACCACTGTACTTTAGCAAGACTCCATCTCAAAAAAAAAAAAAAAAAAAAAAAAAAGAAACCAGTTGCTCTGCTACCGTGGTATCATTAAGAACCTTATTCTTCAAAAAGAAAGCAGCTTTATAGTCAGACAGAGCTGGACTAGTAGCTTAGATCTATTTCTTACTAGAAACAATCTTGACAGGTAGCTTAATGCAATTGGTTTTCCATCTGTAAAATGGGTACAGCAATTCCTGCTTTACAAAATTCTTGTGAAGATGAATCTGATTGTGCATTTCTTCCCTTCTTGCCTTCCTTTCTTCCTCCTCTCTTCCTCTACATATTTTTCACTAATACCGCAGAACCCACTTGCCCACAGAGGATTCCACAACTGAATCATCCTTGGGTCTGCTTAAATCCCTTTTGCTCTAGGGGAGGTGTATTGGCCTGTTTCTGCTCTAAGCAGAGCTGTGGATGAGGGGGGGTGCTAATGATGAGATGGTCTGGGTGGGCTTGACAGGGGGAGGCTGGGCTGGTCCTCGCTCTCAGAGCAGCCACAGTGTTGTGCATTGCCCGCCCAGGCAAAGTCACAAAAGCCTTGGAGGTTGAAGCAGGAGTTTGGGAGCCTCCCTGACTGATACCACACTGAGCAGACCCCTGTCCTGTCTCTGCTGCCATGGCCTGGCTCAAGCTTTCTTTTTTAAAAAATTTTTTTGTATTGACAAATACAAATTGTATATATTTGTGGTAAACAACATGGTGTTTGGAAATACGTTTACATTGTGGAATGACCAAGTAGAGCTAATGAACATATGCCTTAGCTCATACTAATCATTGTGTTGGTAGGGAGGGGCGGAGGGGAAACATGTAAAATCCACTCTCAGCAATTTTCCTGTATACAAAACATTCTTATTGTACTCACCATAGTGTACAATAGGTCTCTTGAGCTTATTCCTCCTAACTGAAATTTTATATCTTTTGATCAACATGTTCCGAATCCCTCCCAAATCAGACCCTCTTACCACTAGCTAGATCTAAGCTTCCCCAGGCCTGAGTCAGATGCCACTGGTGGACAATTGACATGACCAATGGCAAGTGAACCTTCACTTCCCTTCCCTTCCCCTCTCTTCCCTTCCCTTCCTTCCCTTCCCCTTCCCTCCCCTCCCTTCTCTCCCCTCTCCTCCCCTCCCCTCCCTCCCCTCCCTTCCCTCCTCTCCCCTCACCTCCCCTCTCCTCCCCTCTGATGTGATGCCCTGTGATGTCCTCTCTCCCTTGTTTGTCCGAAGGACTCCTATTCAACCTTGACAGCCGTTTTAGGGGTCCCTTTCCTCTGTGAAACTGTCTTGAACTCTTTGTAAAGGGTTAATCCCACCTTCCTCTCTATCTTGAATCACACATTTAATTGAATCACGCATTTAATCATGCAAAACCCAAAGCCTCCTGTTTCCTTGTCTGTCTCCTTGCCGGGGTGGTCTCTGCGGGCCTGGCACATATCTAATTTAGTTCAGGATCCTGGATCCTTCCGCAGTAGTTGGAAGAGGGCAAGTGCTCCACATTAATGAAGATGCAGTCATTAGCTATTGTTTATGAAGTGCTCTCTGCACATTACCCATTCAATCCTTACATCCACTCTAAGAGGAAGAAACTTTTGACACAGGTCTTTTAGGTGTGAGAAAACTGAGTCTCGGAGAAGGTAACTCCTTTGCCAATAGTAGATAAGTGGAGAAGCAGATATGAACCCTGGCTGCCTGACTTCTGTCCTAGGTAGGCCCTCCCCTGCTCACTTCCCAGTCTCCTGAGTACAAAGTTGACCCCTCGGTGGGGTGTGCAGGTGGACCCTGGCCTGAAAGAGGTCAGGGGACTCCTGGGCACTAGGTGCAGCAGCAGCTTCATGCCTGGCTATGGAGCATCCGATCCTGCCCTTTCAAGGTTATGGTGTTGGGGAGGGGGGTCAGAAACAAGAGAAAAGAGAAGATAGAAGTTGAGTCAGATGCCCTGTGGAATTTCTGGCCTTTATTAAATTCTGGGAAGAGGAAAAAAAAAACGGCTGTGCTTATTCCAAGTATGTCGAGATAATAAGGAGCTCTTTACTGTTGATATGCAGAAATTTCTGGCAGCCAGCACCTGCAAGCAAGAGGCCAGGAATCTGTGAGACCCAGACACCCTAAGCTAGAGCCCCAGGCTCCACAGAAGGGAAGCTGGGCCAGGCAGTGAGAAGGGAAGGAGTGGCAGGACTGTCCTCAAAACCCCAGCATTTCCTGCAGCAGAATTTCATCCCTGACCCTGGAATGTGGGCGGGCCCCTCCTGCATGGAAAGAGCCCCTCCCTTTGTCCCTTGGGACACCCCACTCCTTGGCTCTCCAGGCTCATGAACCTTTTTCTTTGGGAGCATTGGGTCGTCTAGTGGTACAGCCTCATTCGTCAGCAGCCATCTCATCTGAGGAGAGGCTCTGCTGGCTTGGAGTTCTGGAGAAATACATTGAGTTGCTTTCAGAATCCCTAAACTCCCCATGTTACCTCTTGTTCAGGGCGGATATGATCAAAGTCAAAGAAGCACAGGAGACCCTGATAATAGGGAATGGCAGGTTTCTGGGGGATGCGGGTGGAGGGACAGAGGTAACAAGGCTTGAGCCTTCCCATTCCCATGCTCTCTGGAATGCTGTTTCTTTATGCAATCTCAGACATCTGAGTTGAAAATTGAAAAAAGGCAATTAGCCCTGTTTATCATTTAAATGCCCATGAATTCAGTCAACAAACATTTGTTCATTCATTAAATGTGTGCCCTGGGGCTGGATACGATGCCAGGTGTTGGAAATAGCCGAGACCGATGTTTCTCACTAGGGAGAGGGCACACGTGAGAATCACATACTCATGGGGGCCCCTCTCAGGACCCTCCTCCATCCAGCCTTATAATTAAGACTTTTGGGGAGGTTGTCTGGGTATGATGAGTTAGAAAAGCTCTCCAGCTGATAAGGATATGAAGCTCTGGTTCAGATGCAAGGACCAGATTGGAAGTAGATTTGTCCAAATGTACCTCCAGTCCGATCTCTCTAGGGAAGTGTAGGCACAGTCTCCCACTGGAATTCATGAATTCGTTCATTCATTCCAGTGGAATTTTTATGTTCTTGCCAGGTGCCATGCCCTGTCCTAGGCATTAGGTTGCAGACCCTGCCTTCCTGGGGCTCTCACAGGGCACCACTCCCATTCCCTGCTCCCATTTCATTCTCTTAAAAGCCCAAGGCCTTACAGTGAGCCAGTGACCAGACTGGTACCTCCCCAACCTACTCTCCCTGCACTCCCCTCTGCCCTGCTCCAGCTACCTGGCTCCAGCCTGTTCCTCCCACAGGCCTCTGCTAGTTGCTCCTTCTGGAATGTTCCCCGCAGAGGTTGCCTCTGCTCACTCTGTGGAGAACCACAGCCTTCCCCGACACCCCAGCAATGCCTTACCTGCTCTTAGGCTTCTGCTCGTTAGCACTTACCACCGTTAACATTCTCTGTCTCTTTGAGATTTCTGAGTCCATTGTTTTCTGAGTCCATTGTCCTCTACCTCCCCCACCAATTCTCTGGAATGTAAGCCCCTGGAGGACAGGGATTTTGCTTTGATGATGGATGTAGCTCAAGCATCTAGAATAAGTAAAGGGGTACTTAATAAATAAATATTTATTGAAATACTGAAATATTATTTGCTTGAATGAATTAAGCAAATAATAACAATAATAACACCGGTGAGTGTAAAATGACACCTGTGGGAAGTGCTGGCTACCGAGAATGAGTGAAATTAACTGAGCTTCTCCCAGCTCATCAACGCTATAATTTTTACTTTTGTTTTTCTTTGAAACATCATTCACTGTTTACAATTATCCAATGTGGCCAAGACCATTCCGTTCTATTTTTGCGATCACTGTGCTTTTCCCACGGTCCTGGCCTCAGGAGAAGAGAGCGCGTTGAAGTCAGAGGAGCAGGCTTCGGAAAGCCCGCAGCCCAGGGCTCTCTGGCATCCCCACAAGTGAGGCCGGCAGGGGAGGATTGGTGGCCAGTCACGTATTCAGTCAGCACGAGACACTGAGCCTGTTCAGAAGGCTGAGATAATGGGATTTCAGAACAATTGTAAAAATACCTAACATGCCAGCAGGGAGTTAAACAGCAGATTCACGAGATTCTGAAGCTTCTGACCCTTCATGGAAGCCAAGGGAGAGAGAATTCCAAGAAGAGCATGTTACAGCATGCCAGGTATTTTGAGGGGGCAGTGCTTGTCATGAGCTGACCACAGTGACCCCATCCCCAGGATCCCAGCAGAGATGGGAAAAGTCACTACTCAGACAACCAAGGACAACCACATCAAAGAATTAGCCCATCAAAGAAAAGATGTGTCAGTCAGAGCCCTGGAGGTAGCCAGTCCTGTCCCAGCCTGGCCCGGAGAGCACAGATAACAGCAGGCTTAGACTAGACATCTGGATCTCTCACAGTCCCAAGGACGGGGTGGGGGTGGCAGATTGTTGTGGGCTAATGCCCCAGTCAGGCCCCTTTCTTCTGTTGCTACACTCTCCTCCAGGCAGCTTTTGGCACCTGCCTATTGGGAGTGAAATCAGCATTCAGTACGTTGGTCAGGGTAACTCTGAGGACTAGTCTCTGGTTTGGTTGAACCTGTCCCTTTCCCAAAGACCAGGGATGGGCTCCAGGAAAGATGGGATAGAGAGCAGACTGCGCTAAGGAAAGAGCACCATCCTGTATTCTCTGGAGTAGGAGGGCACCTGCCAATATTTTTTTTGGTGGCCCAGCCACTTCTTGGTGCCCCAGCCCTTTCTGTAAAGGCACTGGTGACAGTCCCTGGTAAGCAGAAATATGGTGGACACAGCAGCTGGCTGTGAGCACAGGAACAATGGAAAGAGTCTGGTGCAAGGTTCTCAGAGAGGGCAATGTGAGGCTGTCCACAGGAGTTTGCAGAGGAGCAGAGATGACAGAGATGCCAGGCCAAGGAGGCTGCGGGAAGGAAGGCCAAGGCAGGAGGTGGCATGGGCTGGGTCAGAGCTGGTGCATTGCAGCAGGAGTGAGACAAGTTCACAAGGAGGAAGAAATGCCAGGAATCCTTTCTGCTGGCAGTCAATCCAGGCTAGAATTGTTGTGAATTTGATTTAGTCATCCCTGTCTCAAGTACCTTCTATGGTTCTGACACCCCTAGATCCCAGTCCAAATTCCTCATTGCCTGCAAGGCCTCTACCCCCAGCACTGATTTCCTTTCTTGGCTTCTTCCAAGCCTCAGGCCCTATAATCCCTGCCCTTCCTTTAACTGTGGCTCCTTCCTTTATGCTTTTGCTCTTGTCTTTTCTCTTTTCCCAACTTTCCTTCACAATAAAACACTACCACTTCCTGGAAGCCTTCCCAAAACATCCTGGCACCCTTGTGACCCAGAGCGGCTCTTTCATCTGGGAGTGTCCCTTCTTGAGCCACCAACACATCAACATAGGTGATCCAAGGCCTCAGGTAATGCTCATGGAATGAAGAAGTCTTTTGTGAAGGCTGGAGGTCAGGGGAGCTTAGCTTCCCCATTCTCCTTCACCCAAGCTCATGTAAACCTCCAATTAAAAGCCAGTCTCCCTAAATGCAAATGGAAAAGCAAAAAACGACAGTGCTAAAGTCAACATACAAAGAGCATAGAGCAGGGAGGCCTCCAAAATCCCATCTCTGACCCCACAGTTCAGACAGCAGGCCCAGAGTAGGCTCCTGGGAGACAGCAGATCCACTGGGGATGAAAGGAGTCCATTAGGGACAGAAGGAGAAAATGAGTCTCTCCATGTTATACATGCCTCTCATCCACTGGCACATTAAAGGCTCTGAAAAGTCCTGCAGAAAAGTGCCTGTTTGTGTAGCATGTGACACCCATTAACAGTGCCCAGCGCTTTGGCATTGGACAGCCTTGAACGTCCTTCTCCTCTGATGTGCCCCATGACTTCAGTCAAGTTCCTTGGCTGCTCTGAACCTCAGATGCCTATTTGCAAAATAAGTTATTATGTGGTCAGTGAAAGCAAAGTGCTGGTTTGGCTGGGGTACTGGGAGGACAGAATAGCTCACAGAGGACACTCTTGTGGTTCTAACCATGTAGTATGGTCCAGGGCTCCTGGGACAGAGGCAGGAGTGAGCCATTTAGAGGGCGTTATTCTGGGTTGTATACCTAGGACCCTGGCAGGAGCCGCATCCCCCTATCCAGCCAATGGACATCTCATCAAAAAGCGCCCTGCAGGCAGTAGGCATTTCCTGAAGCCCATGCTAGCCTGGGCTCTCTCCAGGCCCGCCTTGTACCATTTGGCCCTCCACTCACTAGCCATGTAGAATGTCTGCTGTCCTCCCTGTGCCTTCCTCTCCCTTATGTCAGTCTGGCTCATCCTTCTTCTAGCCTCACTCTACTTCTTTAACTGGCCAACTCAACCTGTAGGCCTTAGCTGAGATGGTCTTCCTCTGAGATTTTCTGGCTGCTCCTAGATCACAGGTCTCTTTATGAAGCAGGAACCTCAGCTTCCTGCTTCATAAACACCTGCTCTACATATTATCAGCTTTCTATTGTCTACCTCTAGCCAGCTTGAGTTCCTCCATCTGTGCCCAGCACAATGTTAGAGAAGGGGCTGAAAACAATGTTTGGACATGTGATTCTCTGTTCCCTATTGCCCTGGACCTGCTCCTGGTATCCCCCTCCACATGAAGGTGGAATCTACATGAAGCTGTAGATTGCATCATCCTGTTGCTGAAAGTGATGAATCACCTCTCACCAAGTCCCCACGTAGTAAAAATCTCTCTCCCAGGAGTACAGGGGAAGTGCCATAGACTATGGCTTGGCATGGTCATAGGGAGCAAGTGAGGGGTGGCAGGGTGCCTGTAGAAGCGGGGAAGGGTTAGGGATCCCAGCCCCTATCCTGTGCACATTTTTGTTTTCTGCCAGCTGGAGCTGTGCAAAGGAGTGGCAATGTGGCCCTTACCTGAGGCAGGGCCTGGGAACTGGGCATCCCTGGAAGATGCTGAGCTGGGCAGTGGTGGGGATGGGGAGGATGGGGCTCAGAAGCACAGCCCAACCCGGGCTGTCTGACAAGCAATGGGGACGGGAGAGTCCCAGATAGCTGGTGAGGAGCCAGAGCGCAGGGTGGGCCCTCTCCTTAAGCCCGAGGTGGGAGGCGGGCAGCAGCACTGACGCAGGTACGGGTGAGGGCTGGGTTCAAAATGTGGCCCTGGGGCCTTCCAGCTTGGCCAGACCAGCCCAACGAGAAGCCAGGGCTGGGAGGGCCAGGCAGGTGGGGAAGGCTTGCAGGCCAGGCCCAACGCCTTGAGAAGCCAATGGGCTCCTAAAGGGTACTTCATTCTGGGTGAGGCCCAAGACATAGTGGCCACACTTCCTCCCATGCTCAGGGATTCGGGGTCTAAACAAGCCTGGGCCTGATCCCTGCCATGGTCGCTGCACAGCAGGGAGTCTCCTGGAGTGGGGCCCTAGGGTGGAGCTGCTCATGGGCAGCTTGCCTACTCCCACCCCTGTCTGTCTCTCCCAGCCCTCCTGTAGGTCATTTCTGAGAGCTCAAGGACACAGCTGCCAAAGAAATACCACAGGGCACAGCACTGTGGACCTTGGAGTGGAGGACGGTGGGGAAGACAGGGTGAGTCTGTCTCTTTCAGAAATGCTAATCTCACCTTGCCACTCCCTGCTTGCAACCCTTCCCTGGCACCCTGCAGGTACTCAGGATGGCATTCAACTCTGGCCTTGGCCTATATAGCCCTCCTGGATGGTCTCAATCCCCCTCCAGCCTCACCTTTCCTATTCTCCACCTGGTGGGTCACTTTCCATTTCCCTCTGTCCTGAGTGCCTGAGTGCTTGGACATGGTACTCAAAGGCCACCCCAGCACCCAGCTAAGTCCTACTTCCCCTCTGCTTGCTGTTCTAGCAATGAAGTGGCTCTGACCCCCATCCAGATTAGAAGCCACGCCCTGCCTGCAGTCCCACAGCTCCCGCCTCTCCACTGCCAACCCAGTGTACCACTGAGTGGGCCCAGATGCAACACTCCTGATAAGTCGCTGAGGATACCACAGTAATAGCCTCTGCCCAGCAATTTCCTTCTCAGCCTGCAGGCTCCTCACATTCACCAGTCTGGTCACAGGGTTCACCCTGTTCTGCCAGATGCTGCCTCAGCCAGCCTTCCCAAGTGGGAGTCCTAGCCACCCCGACTCCTGGGGGTCCACTGAGCCTAGGAGTGGGGCCTTGGCCACCATGGGCATTGTGAAGATGTCCAGGCCAGTGCTGAGATCTTTCCTGTGACTGAGATTATGAGGGACTCTGGGTCCTTATTCTCTGTCCTGAGCCCCCTCACCTGCGAGTTCCTCCCATTCCAGGCCTATCACCTCCCTGCATCCCTGTCCTCCCTGCTTTTGGCTTCCTCTACTGGGACACTCCTGGCAAGGCAGCCTGTTCCAGCTTGTTCCTCCCCTCTCCCTGAGCTAGTCTCAGATCAAGCTCTCTGGATCTGAGTTTGCTGCTTGTCCTGTGGCCCTTTTCTGAGATCTTCTCCTCCAGTCTCTGGGGCTGTCCTGGCTTCAACGTGCACTGCTAGCTCTCCCTGAGGTGTGAGTGAAAGCTTCTCAAGTGATCATTTATTCGCTAACAACTCATTTGCAGCCTCTGTCCCACATCAGGCCTAGGCTGGAGCTGGGGCTGCAGGGTGAACCAGCCAGGCCCTGTCTTCAGAGCCTCACAGCATAGTGGGCAAACAATTCACAGAATCATGTTACCTGTCACTGCAGGAGGCAGAAGAAGGTGCTGTGGGGGATGGCGGGCAAATGGGATTCTATCTGGCAGAGCATCTGGGAAGATGTATTTGAGCCTTTGAAAACTCTCCAGCTATTTGACCTCAGCTGCTTTACCTGCTCGCACCACCTCCTGATGGCCTCTGTGGTGCTCACTGATCTCTGACCACAGCTTTAGGTACAAGTGTCCAGGAAATCCCTTTGCCTTGAGCTGACCGCCTGCTTTTGTGTCCCGCACATAGGCACCACATAGGCCGACCTCTGGGCTGCCCCTAGACTGGGGGGCCCTTCTGCTTGGTGTACCAAGCCCTTAGCAGGGTGCCTGTCACTCAAGGACTGCTGGGGGAAAGAAGGGCTGTGATCTCTAGAAGGAGCATACCTCTGGTCCTGTGCAGTTGAGAAGGGCTCCATGAGGTCCTCCTCCTCTAAATGCTCTGTTTTCCTCCAGTATGAACCAAAGGGCTTACATGTTGCCGCTGCTGCTTTTAAAATTGTGAGCAAATATGTTTATTGCCAGGGCAGCTTGCGCCAGGATCTCACGGGAGCAGAGGGCATGGTGCCGACAGCAAAGCCAGTCCACCATGGGACTACTGGCCTGTGCCTGCTGCTCGGTGGGGCAGGCTGGATGTGCAGAGGGGCTGGCCTGTCCCCATGGTCCTGATGACAGGACCAGCTTCAAGAGAAGGCTGAGCTTGTCTGCATGACAGAGCTCCTGCTGACTACCTTCAGGTGGGTATCCCAAGGTGCAGGGTGAAGGCTACAGGTAGAAACTAGGTAACTGGCTTAGCATGCTGTAAGCAGCCTTCCCAGTGCCTGTAGCTCGCCTGGTACACCTCTTCCTACAAGTGCAGTGACCCTGGTTGCACCCAGCTCCTCAGCAATTGCCCACTACTATCATGCTCTCAAGCCTGGTCCATGACATCCTTCTGGTCTGACTCTTCTCCTTCTCCACCTAAAACCTGAAAGTCCTGGAAATGCTCAGTTCCCCAGCAGGGTTGTGTCAATCCACATCCTGAGCCTTTACACATACAAGCTGTTAGGGCTTTGTCCATCCCCCACATACAAACAATCTCCTGGGACTCCCCCCAGCCCTGCAGTTCCCCTCCGACCACCACTTGGGAGTCTTACCTAAGGCTCTGGATAGGCACCTTATCCCCCTATGAGATGTTGGTGGACTCCCCTAAGGAAAGTGGAGCATGCCTCCTCTGTGCTATGACTGTGGCAGCCCCATCACCTGCCTGTTGTCTTCTCTGATACTCTGACACTTCAGAGGAAAGGATCCATGTCTTCTCTGTTGTATCTCCAGGGCTTGGCAGATGGAATTGCTCAAAAAACATTCAACAAAGCAGCTGTCTTAGTCAAGACTCCTTCGGTTACAAGTTTAGGCAAAAGGAAGTTTCTTTGGGAAAGTTCTCATAACTGCAGGGAGAGCGGGGTGTAGATGGGCCTCAGAGATGGCTGGAACCAAGGACTGACACCACACCCGAATTCACTTGCATCTTCTGCCCTCGCTCCATTTCCTCCCCATGCTGAAGGACTTGACCATAAATGGCTCCAGAGCTTTCTGGCTCCAAATCAGCAGGTGAACTAAGCTACTTCTTTACATTTTCACACTGATAAATGTCAGGGAAGAATGCTGACTGACCCAACTGGAGCTAATTGCTCACCCTTGGACCAATCACTATGAAAAGGGTATCCAGGAATATGACATTTCCCACTCAAAGCTCGTGGTCAGAAAAGAGTGAAGAGTGGATCCTGGGAGATGGAGGATGCTGCTCTGGGCAGACAAATGGAGTTAAACATTACAAGAAGGAAGAAGTAAGTAAATGAATGAGCCAAGAGCTACACATGTCCTTACAGAAAATGGCACAATTTCTGGAGTGTTTGCAAATAATTCTCACTGGTTCTTACTGTGGCCCTATGAACCCACATCTCACAGATGAAGAAACAGGGTCAAAGTTACAAGTGAAAAAAATGCAGCCAGGGTTCTACCCTTTGATGGCATATTAGCACATGTTCTTGGAGGTTTTCCTCCCACAGAAGTGTGGGCAGCTAGACCTCTCCTGTGCAGTCACTGGAGGAGAGGGCAAGTATTTGTCTGTGAGGTGGGGAAAAGGGACTCTGGCAAGGGTTAACTCAGCCCACTTCTGCACCAACTCTCATGTTGAGAAATCTTTTCTTGCCTCAGTCAGCGTGAGAACATAACTGCTTCTTTGGGGATTTGAGACCATGCCATCCTTGCTTTAGGGTTCAACTATGATGATTTTAGCTTGTGTCTGGAGCCCTAAGGGCCCAGGACATGGGGTTCATTATCCAGAACCAGGCACAGATGAGAGGTCCTTGACTTGGGACTTAGAGGGCAAGTGAGCAGCTCAATTTTCATCTCTTACTAGCTCTGTGACACACATACCAGGGAATTCACTGCTTTCTCCTGTGCCTTTATTCTAACACATGGCACTTGCTTCAGTGCCTCTTAGTCAGGGGGCTATACCTGCTTCTTTTTTATTCTGAGATGGAGTCTTGCTCTTGTCCTCCCCAGACTGGAGTACAATGGTGTGATTTTGGTTCACGGTGACCTCCGCCTCCCAGGTTCAAACAATTCTCCTGCCTCAGCCTCCCAAGTAGCTGGGATTATAGGTGCCTGCCACCACGCCCAGCTAATTATTGTATTTTTAGTAGAGATGGGGTTTCACCATGTTGACCAGGCTGGTCTTGAACTCCTGACTTTGGGTGATCACTCCCGTCTCAGCCTCCCAAAGTGCTGGGATTAAAGGTGTGAGCCACTGTGCCCGGCCTAGAATTGCCTCTTAAGGTCAAGGCCTAGATCTGTTTTTCCTATCTATGAAGTCTGTGGTAGATGGTTTGCAAAGATGGCTTCAGTTACCCCTCCCATTCCTATGTGCATGCCCCTTTGCAACATAACTGCTACTTCTTCCTTGAAGAGGTCGGGCCTCTTTCCCTACCCCTTGAATTTGGGCTTGCCTGTGACTTGCTTTGACCACTAGAATGCAGCTGCCTAGTCCTCAAGAGACTTTGCAGCTTTTGCTACTGTCCTCTGCCCATCTACATGTGAACATGCCTAGGCTAGGCTGATGGAGCATGACAGGCCATGTGGAGTAGACAAATACCATCCCAGTTGAGGCTCACTAGACTGACTGAGTACAGCCAGCACCAAGTGTCAGGCATATGAATATGACCATCTTGGACCTTGCCCCACAGTCAAGCCAGCAGAAGACTGCAGCCCATGAATGTGCTCGGGGAGACTAGCAAGAGAATCTCTCAGCTGAGCCCAGCCCGAATTGCTGACTTAGAGAATTATGAGCAAATAAAATGGTTGTTTTGAAGTGGTTTGTTACACAGTAATAGAAAATGGGCAGAGGGTAGTTCCTAGTTGTTGTATGTTGAATTGTCTCTTCCCAGAAGAATATGCTCAGATCCTAAGCCCTGATCCCTGTGAATGTGACCTTATTTAGAAATAGGGTCTTTGCAGTTGTAATCAAGTTGAGATGAGGTCATACAGGATTAGGGTGAGCCCTAAATCCAATGACTGATGTCTTTATAAGAAAAAGGAGAGGGAGATTTGGATGCAGTCACACAGAGGAGCACAGGGAAGAAGGTCATGTGATGACAAGGGTAGAGATTGAAGCAATTCAGCTATAAGCCAGGGAATACCAAGGACTGCCAGGAACCATCAGAAGCTAGGAAGAATTCCCCCTTAGCATCTTCAGAGGGAGCATGGCCCTGTGAACACCTTGATTTCAGGCCTCCAGACCTGGGAGAGAATACGCTCCTGCATTGAGCCACCTAGTTTGTGATCATTTGCTATGGCAGCTTGAGGAATTAATACATGAGTCCAGAATTTTGCTTGGAAAGTACTGGCTGGCTGAATGGAGAAGCTGAAAAGTGGAGGATAATGAACTTGCACTTTTAGCACCTCGCCCCTTCACTGACTACAGTCACCATGCTGCTGGGTCACCATTTCCAGGGCTTAGACACCTGCATCTTCTGCCCAGCCCTCGGGGCTCTGACTCCAGGTCTGCACACACACAGGAACCCAGGCGCAGTGCTCAGGGCATTCTTTGTGTATGTGTATATACGTACATCTTTTTTTTCTGCATATAAAAATAGCTTGTGAAAATCTAAATAAACTTAGAAAATATAGTGAAGTAGACTGGGCATGGTGGCTCATGCCTGTAATCCCAGCAATCTGGGAGGCTGAGGCAGGTAGATCACTTGAGGCCAGGAGTTCAAGACCAGCCTGGCCAACATGTCAAAACCCCATCTCTACTAAAAGTACAAAAATTGACTAGGCATGGTGGCGGGCACCTGTTATCACAGCTACTTGGGAGGGAGGCTGAGATAAGAATCGCTTGAACCGGGGAGCTGGAGGTTGTGGTAAGCTGAGATCGCACCACTGCACACCGGCCTGGGCAATAGAGTGAGACTCTGTCTCAAAATATATACATATATAGCAAAGTAAAAAGAAAAAAAAAAAATACCCATAACTTTAACTTCCAGTGATAACTGTCAACATTTCATTTTTAAATCCGTATAGTCTTTTCATTTATACAAATACTGGTGTATGATTCTTCCAAAGCAAAAAATGGGATCATACTGTTGATCCCACTGTGCTGTTTTGTATCCTAGGTTTTTTACTTAATGATATGCCAAGGACATTTTTCTGTGTCAATAGCTATGAATCTGTTTATTCTGCACATATTGAATACCCACTATGTGCAAAGCACTTTCTATATTGCCAGGATGCAATGAGAAAAAAGATAGTGCATTCACAGTCCCTGTCCTCATCCTTATGAAGCCTATAGGCTCCCAGGGGATACAGGCATCTAGCAAATAATCACACACATATCTTTTTTATTTTTTTCAATTTCGAGATCATTTCAGACTTAGAGAAGAGTTACAAAAATGATGCAGAGAGTTTTCACATACCTTTCACCCAGCTTCCCTGAAGATTAACACCTCACATAACTAAGCATGACAACTCTGAAAACCAAGATATTAATGTTGGCATAATGCTATTCAGTATGGACTTTCTTTTCTGCTTTTTTTTTTCTGGTTCTGGGGTCTGATGCTGTGTCTCACATTGAATTTGGTTGTCTTGTTTCATCTTCTACAATCTGTGATAGTTCCTCAGTCTTTCCTTGTCTTGTATGACCTTAAGGCTTTTCTGAGTACTGGGCAGTTTGTTTGTAGAATGTCCCTCAGTTTGGGTTTGTCTGATGTTTTCTCATGATTAGAATGACGTTATTATGCCTTCTGTTGGATACCACAGAAGTGACGTGCTTTTCTCAGTGCCTCCTATCAGGGGTACATGATGTCAACACAACTTATTACTGGTGATGTTAACCTTGGTCACTTGGTGAAACTGAAATCTGCTAGGTTTCTTTACTCTCAAGTTAATATTTTCCCCTTTGTGATTAATAAAAATTTGTTTTGGGGAAAATATTTTGAGACTATGTAAATATCATAGTTCTTAAATTTTCACCCACTAAATTTAATTTCCATGGGTGGATCTTGCCTTCAGGGGCATCTGGTGTTCTAATGGTGACTTTGTATTTCTTTCTATAGTCATTGAGTGGACTTCTTCTGTAATGGAGAGCTGTCACAGACACTTCTTTAGTGACAGTAGTTAAGAGTTTTACAAGGATGCAAGGAGAACCTGAAACCAGATAACCCAACTCAGGCTGTGGTAGTTGGGGAAATTTTCCCTGAAGAGGTGACATTAATGCTAATTTTTGAAGAATCCAAAGGACTTGGCTGGGCACAGTGTTGGGGGTGAAGAGGAGAATGTTCCAGGCTCAGGGAAGAACGTGTACAAGATCTGTACTCGTAGCTGACAGATACTGACATGAAACTGCGTGAGTGACTGGCTGGGTAGAAACCTTGGCCACCTGGAGGGACTTCCTCATCTGAAGGACGCAGCTGCTTTTTGCTCCAGCCAGAGTTATGTCAAGTGGAAATGAGGGTCTAGTGTTGCCAGAGTTTTTGATGTTTAAGAGAAGCTGGTCATCTGGAATTTTTTTTCATAAAACTTCTCAATCTTTTTAATGTTAGCAAACAATCCCCTTCTCCTTCATAGCTAAACAAAACCTGTAAGCTAACAGGCTTTTTTTAACCTGTGCATGGCTGAACCACAATTTATTTATTTCTCTCCTGGGCTACACCTTGAAGTTATTTTTTATGGTTCCCCGTTACAAATAATTCTGTAATGAATATCCTTGGACAGACAACCTCAACAGTTTCTCTGGCTATGAAAGTTTGCACCAGACAGCCACTTGTGACCTTGCAACTGCTAGACCTTGTGACCTCTTCAGCCCCATCCTCCTTCCCCCCTCCTTCCCCACAGCCCTTCACATCCCCCCAGTTCTCCTTCTACTTTTCCAACTGTTCTTTTCAATTTCCTTCAACGTCTTAGTCAACTCCAGCAATGGCTGCAATGGAATCCACATCACTAGTAAGGAGTCTATGAGGTGATCTGGGGGGTATGGTCCCACAGAAGGTGCCCAGCTCTCACCTGGGCTGAGAGCATAGCTGGTTGGTCTTGGGCGGTATCTCAAGCCAAAGCCCTGGCCTGGTTGGCTCTGCTGCCCTACTTCCTGGAAGGGAAGGGCCTGAGGCTGGCTCAGCAAGCACAATGGTTGCTAAAAGACCAGCAAATACATTCTTGGTGGATTCTGCCCTGCTCTGATAAGGCGGGTATGGAGGAGATGAGGAGCTGGAGGTCTGGTGCCAAAGTCCTGAGAGGAGTTCCCACCACACAGGAGAGAAGAACCGGGATCCTCTTAGAGCTGGCAGGCAGAGCTATTGCCTCAGCTCTCTGGCTGTGCCCAGATTTCTTCCTATGGTGCCCTCTTGTGCCATGGTCTTTGTGTTGTGAGTGGACTGTCCTTACCGTGGCCATCAATAGCCAGCCTGAAATGTGGTGGGGGAACAAAGGGTGAGAGGGAGGGCAACTTCCCTAGCCCCCAGGGCCTTTATTGAGGGAGACAATGAAAAGCTTTATTTCCTGTTTGTCTTGAAGCATCCCTCTTGGGTCTTTGATTGAATCAAGTGGTACCTACTGTCGGAGACTGCCAGATTTTTAAAGTTATGAATAAAATAAAGCTACAATGGAGTCTGGCTGTCAGTGAACATCCTTCTAAAATAATTGTAAAAATAATAAAAGTTAGCATAAAACAACAATGTTCTCATTTACTGAACACTTAGTCTATGCCAGGCATCATGCTAAGGGGGTCTTCATTCTTTATCTCATTTAGTCCTCATGCCAGCCCCCAGAGTTTAGATTGATAGCTGTGATCTCAGGATGAGCTTAAGAAACCTGCTTAGAAATTGTATTAAGATAATACCTGTCAAGAGGGACAAGCTTGACTGCTACAGGTCCCACAAGTCCCCACCCAGACCTCAGCAGACAAGACCCTGTTTCTACAACATACCCACTCATCTGTCTTATGTTTGTTCGCAGCAGTCCTAGATCGTATGTCACCGCCTGAGACCACAGTACCTTTAGATGCTGTATCCCCTTAGGTTCCTCTTGCTTATGACAGAGGCTGGGGGGAAACTGCATGTGGAGAGAGGGCCCCAAATCCCCATAAGCTTCTGCCTCTTGGTTTGAAACCTAAAGTGAGACACTCTAGACTGTAGTGGAGCAAGCCACCCAATGCCCCCTCACTCAGCAAGAGCTTCCTTCTAAGTTTGGGTTTTTTATAACCTCCCTTGACTCTACAGTTTATGTGGATTACACATACTTAGACATTTGTGATGATATGATGGTCACTATTCCTAATGTGAACTCTTTGGAGATCCATGAGATCCTGTGTTTTATAGATTGACTTTTTCATTCATTTGTTGAGGTTCACTGAGCACTCTCTGTGCCTGGCACTGCTAGAGGGAATAGGAATAATGTGATGAGTGGGACAGTTGTGGCCCCACCTTGCTGGGTCACATTCTTGTGGGAAAAATACTCAATGAAATACTAGCAAAATGAAGCTAGTAACATATATGAAGGAGTATACACTATGGCTCAATGAGATTTATCCCAGGAATGCAAAGTTGGTTTAATATCTGGATATCAGTGTAATATACCATATTAATAGAATTAATGACTAAACCACATGATCATTTCAAGCATTTGAAAAAATTTAACACTCTTTCAGGATGGAAACATTCAACAAACGAGGCATAGAAAGGAATTTCCTCAATCTGATAAAGGGCAACTATTTTCTTTTTGTTTTAAAAACACAGCTTAACATCATATTTAATGTTTAATGGTGGAAAGTTGAATGCATTCCCTGCTAAGATCAGGAACAAGGAAAGGATATTTGTTCTCACCAATTGTATTCAGCATTGTACTGAAGCTTGTAGCTAGAGTACTTAAGCAAGAAAATGAAATAAAAATCATCAAGATTGGAAAGAAAGAACTTAACTATCTCTATTTGTAAATGCCATCATCTTGTAGTATATAAAAAATCCTAAGGAATCCACTAAAAAACTATTATGACTAATAAGCAAGTTCAGCAAGGTGACAAAACATATGATCAATATACAATAATCAGAACATGAAATAAAAAAATTACATTTATAGTAGTATTTCTAAGAATAAGATATCTAAGAATAAATTTAACAGAAGTGAAAGTCTTATACATTGTTTCCACTACATTCTAGTGGCAACAGTTGAGAAAAAGGAGTGACATCAGCTTGGCCAAGCCACGTTGTCAGGGAGGTACAGGCAGACCCAGCAAGACTTCTCTGCGACAGCCTTGGGAATTCATGGCAGTTTGTAGCTGCCAGAACTCTGTGCTCTGCCTGACTTCAGTGCCCTTTTGCTTATTTAGGAAGGTGGCCTTGGCTATGATCAGAGACCTGCAATTAATGTCTCTATTTCAAGTTATGCAGGTGATGGGAACTCAAAGTCCAGAATGACCTCTCATTTTGAGAAACTTTCCTGGGATCCTGCCTCTCTAGGCCTTATACACAGGCTGCACCTTGGAATGTTGGTTATCTACTGCTTCCTGCTGCTGGCAAAAATGCAAGTTTAAAAAATAAGTCTTTATTTTAGGAGAGTTTTAGATTTGTAGAATCATTATTAAGACAGTATAAATAGTTCCTGTGTGCGCTGTCCCCAGTTTCCTGTATTATTAGCACTTTCACATTAGTATGGTACATGTGCCACAATTAGCTAACCAATATTGATACATTATCATCAACTAAAATTTATGGTTATTTCTGTTCCGAGATCCCATCCGGGATATCAGAGTACCTTTAGTTGCCATGTCCCCTAGGCTCCTCTTGCTTATGACAGTTTAAAGTAAAAGTTTTAGCTTCAACATGAAGATGTTGAGAAAGTCTGAGATCTGGAATGAGATGGGCCTTGACTCACATCCCAGCTCTGCCCTTATTAACTGAGGACCTAGAGTAATTTATTCAAGCCCTCTGAGCCTCAGTCTCCTCTTCTGTAAAATCTAACTTGCAGGGCTGTGTCCTGCAAGATAATACATGAAACACACCCAGCACAGTGCCTAACACACAGGTGCGCTAAAAAAACACTGTTCACAATGTGTCCAGGGCCTCACCCCTCCTTCCCAGCACTGCAGCACTCTTCTCCTAGTCTTTTCTGTGCTGAGCAAGAGTGCTTGCTGTTGACACACACTCCATAGCTCCAGTGCTGCAAAGACCCAACCTAACCCACTAGCATGGGAAGGCAACACCTACTAACACTGGCTGTCTCACAACAGCTGAATTTTCTCCAAGTCTTTTCTAGTCAACCATAGGTCCCAGCATGTGGGCCAGTGCTCCTTGTCATGGTAACCTGCTTGTCGGGAATGTACAAGGCTGTTGGCTCCTGGCCTTGAGTCAGTACCCAGAAGCTCTGAATGTACTCCTGCCCAAACCTGATCCCCGCCCTGGTCTTGCCCTTCTGAAGGCCTGGTGGTGAGGGGACAAGCCTGCTGCCTGCTCCTTCAGGGTTGTATTGTGAGGGGTGGCGGGGGGCACCAGGACATATGAGTGAATTTTGTCCCATTTACTTGTTTGCCATTCACTGCAGATATTGGGTGTTTGCTCAGAATAGAAACTCTCCCGTGGGAAGAGTGAGTTCATGTTCAGGGGACACATGGGCCTACCTGAGGGGTGTGTGTTGGGTGTGGGGGTGCATGCAAGCCTCCAAAAATATGTATGTGCATGCACGTGTGTGTGTGTATAAGTATGCATGCCCATATTGTGTACCTGGAGGCTTGTGGTGGGTGTTTGTGGCAGGTGTGCATGTGGACAAGCCCATGAGTGTATTTCATGTTTGTGTGTTTGGTATGAAAGTGTATGTAGAGAAATGGGTGTGCACGTGCAGGTGTGTAAGTGCATTCAATGGAGGAAGGAATCTTCATCTTGCCGCATGTCTCCTGTGCCATATATCCTGGGCTCAGATGCAGAAGCAAGCTAGATGGATTGAACCTTCCCCGTAGTCATGGCCCTGCACCTATATGGACACAGGAGTAGGGCTCAGACCACCTCCTGGCTTAAAGTACCTCTTGTGCTCAAAGCTCGAGGTATGCACTGAGCACAGCAAACAATGTCATTTTATTAAAAGCACGGCCTGTGTTGTGAGTAGCCCTCGTATCAGGTGTTGGGAGCTGGTTTGTAAACAAAGAAGGTTCTGAAAGGACAGGGGAGACCAGGTAGAATGTAGCTGTGGCCCCACTCAGGATATTGATGGTCCTGGGGTGATTTGGGGGACCTTTCCTTCACAGATGTCCCTCCTACAATGCTCCCTTGCTTCCTGCCCCTGCCCCTCACCTCTCAAGGGGACTTCAACCAGTCAAGTCCAAGTTTGTAAACTCTCTTTTCTTTGATTAAAGCTTCTATCTGGAATGTGCCTTTCTCATTTATAAACACAGCTCATTCCCTTACCTCCTTTAAATCTTTGCTCAAATGTCACCTTCTTAATAACTCCGCTTTAAAACTGCAGCTCTCCCTAGGCCCTACCACCTTGTGTCAAACTCCTCATCCCTACTGTCCTTTCCTGTTTTCCCCCAAAGCACTTGTCACATTGGCACACAGTGTGGACCGGCACTGCAAGAGGACATATGTACAGAAATTGAGGGGATGTATTTGAAAACTTCTATGCTATGGCATCTCTAGCTATAGGATCTTTAAATTTGACATTGCTCAGAAATCCAAATGCAGATTGAAAAAAAAAATCAACTGGTTTGTCACCACAGAGGGTTTAAGTATTACTGTTCTTGGCTGGGAACAGTGGCTCATGCCCGTAATCCCAGCACTTTGGGAGGCTGAGGCAGATGGTCAGGAGTTCAAGACCAGCCTGGCCAAGATGGTGAAACCCCATCTCTACTAAAAATAATAATAAAAAATTAGCCAGGCGTGGTGGCACGCCCCTGTAGTCCCAGCTACTCAGGAGGCTGAGGCCAAGAATAGCCTGAACCTAGGAGATGGAGGCTGCAGTGAGCCAAGATTGCGCCACTGCACTCCAGCCTGAGCAACAGAGTAAGACTCCGTCTCAAAAAAAAAAAAAAAAAAAAAGAATTATTGTTCTCCCATACTCAAAGTTCAGTTTCCTGTTTGTCTTCCCCCACCCGACTCCTGCTAGAACGAAGTTCCACAGGGCAGGGATTTTGTCTGCTTTATTCCGCGATGACTCCCCCAGCATCTAGAATGGGTGTGGCACATGCTGGTTCCTTAATGGCTATTGGTTGATTGGGTACATGCGTAAGTGCAAGGGGAGGTCTGAGAGGTGAACATCTTTCACTGAATATGGGGTGGGTTGGCAGCAAAATTTCAACCACAGGCCCCTGTCCTGATGACACTGTTCTCCAAGACCAGGTCTTGATGGTCCAGCTTGGGGCCTGCAGGTAAGAGGCACAGGCCTTGGACACAGGCCTTTGACAATGCTGCCCCAACTAGAGGTACACCGACATATGTAAAGGCCAGAGTCTTTCTCGTGGCACAGGACAGGTTCTGTTTTCTCGTCAACTTAGGAACAGAAGGGGCAGGGACTGGGAGACAAATGCTTCTATTCCCCAGAAGGCATCACCAACCTCTCTCCCTCCCTTTATTGTAGTGCTCTGGCTTCTGGGGAGGAAAAAGGGGGAGGCTGGCACCTGGGGATGGCGTGGAGTCTCTGGGGAAGCCTTTCCCTGGATCTTGTCTGGCTCTGATCCTTGTAACCGTGGTTTGAACTCCTGTGAGTTGTTCTTGGGACCCAAATACTACAAGGCATAGCTGGGAACTGCTGCCCTGACAACAAGCATTCCACCCCATGCCACCCTTGCCCCTGCCCCTTTCCCTATCCTCTCTCAGAGGGGGCTCAGGGCTGTCAGGGCCAGGCAAGAGCAGCCCTAGGCAGGTGCGGCCCTCTGAGAGGTGTAGAGAGTTCTGATTCTGCCTGCAGTTCCCATGGCTAGGGCTGGCCACGGACCACATGGCAGTCAGCGCCTGGGCCTGACTCAGGGGCAAACCATCCGGCAGGGCCAGTTCTGGGCTCACACACCCACCTCCACCTGCTCATCCACTCTGCTTCCCAAGCCCTCAGGCTCAGCTTCTCTTTCTCTAACCTGAAGACTCCACCCACCCTTTCATCCTATCCCACCTCTCCCACTTTCAGTGAATGGCAATGGGGGACAGGTGTCTGGCCAAGGAGGAAGAGCTTGGGACCTTTGGTCAGAATATCCTAAAGGACTACTGTACAAGCAGTGTTCGGGGCTACCTGTGACTCCAGGGCAAGGACAAGAGTAAACTCCTGTGTAATTAAAAAGTTCGGTTATGTCTTTTTACCTGTGGCTCCTTCTGACCCAAGAAGAGCCACAGACTAGTGTCTGCTAACAAGAGTTCCTTCATTCTACAGTCCCAGCTGTCCTCCTCATCACGGTCCTGTGGGAGCATAAAGGAAACTGGAGAGGGGAGGCTGCTGGGAGGAAGCGATGTTCAAGCTGGAGGAGAAAAGAGATGAGAAAGGCATTGGGAGGAAAAGGACAGTCACGTGCAAAGGCCTGCAGTTCAGAGAGGCCACAGTGCACCAGGAGCCAGCCCTGCGCGGTTTATATGGCTGGGCATGCACAGAAGGCTGATGAAATCTGGAGCCCCTGGGAAGGAGGTCTAGTTCCCTTTTTTTGCATTGAAAAGTCTCACAGATTTATTACTGAACCCAGCCAACCAGCATGTTCATAACAGACTCAGAGAGAAAAAATATATTCCCAATAAAACATGTCAAACTGTCCAGATAGTGGTGACATTTTCAGCTTGATATGGTAACGTCATTGACACCTTCAGACAGCGTAAGTCTGACACCTTCAGACAGCCATTTCATGTGCAATTCCTTGCAGACCCAGCTTGCTTCTTCTCCAATGTCTCCTACTGGAGTTGTACCTGATTTTATTACCAGTTTTCATCTGAATCCACTGGGAAATAGGACGATTTTGGCCAGGAATCACTTAACCTCCAAAGTCTTGTGAAAAGACATGGTGAGAGGCGAAGTCAAGCACACAC